CGGACGATATTGTCCTGCTTTTCGACGATGTTGGGGCGGCACAATCAACCCTGAATAGCCTGTCTAAATTAGTACCATTATTTGGTATGCACTTTATGACTTCTTGACCCTTACTAACGAGGAAATCGTGGTGGTTGATCATTTCACTTATCTTGGCAGCTGCATCAGCAACGATGGGCTCATAGAAACTGACGTCAGCTCACGCATTGCGAAGGCCAAAATTGTCTTCTTGAATCTGCGGCATCTTTGGCGACAGAAGGGAGTTTCCCTCCGTCTAGAACGCTGTGTACACAAGGCCACAGTCTGGGCCGTTCTGCTCTATGATAGTGAGACTTGGCCTCTTCGGCCTGAAGATCTGAGGCGCCGTTGTCTGCGAAGCATTGCTGGTGTCGGATGGCACCAGCGTGCCCGCAACGATGATGTGCGTAGGCGCGTACTGGGTGGTGACAATCATGCTAGAACAACAGATAGCACTGAGTAAGTTGTGTTGGCTCGGGCACGTGCTATGTATGCCTGGTCACCGTTTACCTAGGAGGACCTTGTTTAGTCTGCCAGGTGTAGGGTGGCGCAAGGCTGGAGGTGGACGAAAGTTGACTTGGCAGCGGGAAATGAAGTCACTGACGACCAAACTGGGTGCAGTTGGTCCGTCTCGCCCACCGGGTGGGAGTCCACGTGATTCGCCTTGTGCTTGACTCGAGACTTTACAGGACATGGCTCGCAACCGACACCAGTGGCGCGTCTGCTGCCGTCTCTTAATCGGATTGTCTGTTTGAAGTGTGTTTGGTGCTGAGTTATCTGCGGGGTAATGGCTGTTTATGACGCTTGGCAGTGGAGCCGCAAGGAAGCTCTCTCGCCGATGCCGCCATATCTTTGCACAATAGCTAGCGGTTTGTGACGGTATGTTGCTAACACAAAGTGTATGTGCCTTGACGCTGAATGTTTGCTTAAAGCATTAAGGTTTTCAGGTAAGTCTACCTTCTTTCCCTCTTATTATTCTTCATTTCATTGTTCGGCATGGTTGTATGGCAGCGAAGCATCAGTTCAGATTGCTGTTGTACTGCTTTTATGCTGATGATGTGTTGAAAAAAACCGTTTACAAGACAAGGCTTATTTCACTAGAACAGCTGAAAGTATTGTCAACGAATGTCGCACCATCAACACGTAATCTTTGCAAAAAGTTAGCCAATTACATCTGGCGATTTCTGCACTTCACTCAGAACCGCGGCGTGCTCATTGAGCATTTTCTTGTTGGACAGCCATATGTTGTTTATCTTGATATACGTATTCACTGTTATTACTGATTTCTGGACTACATTCGTGCACGGGCAAATGGTGATGTGCAACAGCAACTAGCCAACAGCTGGCCGTAATGACCCCCAACCAAAGGAACAGTTTACGACATCAGTTTCATGTGCACAAGGAATGGGCGCATAAGTATCGCACACCAAACAACCACTAGACACAGAAAGAAACGCGCGCTATGAAACTTCTAACAAGGACTGCGAAGATATGTGGATGTTTCGTTGTTCTGACCTGATGCACCTGGTATTTTATGTTAAACAGTTAACAATTCCGTTTGCACTAAGGGCCTTAAACAATTACAGAGTCTGCAGGAATCATTTGGGGATGTTGAACATTGACGGCCAAATTTGGCATATCGTAAATCTCATAGCATATAACCAATTAAAAGGTGCACCTATTCGGTATCGAACAGTGGTTAGGACGAACGAAGCAGGTTTGCTTGGTTGACATCGGCGTCTAAAGGACGAGTATAACCACCACATTCTGAACACCGGTTGAAATTCAGATGATCATTTTTTACATTTGAAAGCGACTACTTTCATTCCACAGATATCACTTAGACAATCTACTCATCATTCTGGTCCACAAATTGAGATTTTCTACAATGATGTTGATGGATAGAATTTATCACAGCCGGAATCGGAGTACCGTCTATGTTATACAGGGGAAAGCGCTGGACAGCTATTTTCTCCTCTCGGGAATCATCAGTGCGCATTCCGTCTGTTCCGGGTGGAACTCAGCCGCTGATTCTAATTTTGTGAACCAGCAGTTTAGACCATAGCTTGTAGATAGAATGCATAGTAGTAGTGAGCACAAAAGGACTAGACGGACTTTGGTGGATGCTTACGATTTAATCATGCGATTACGTTAGTCTTCAATTAAATGAACTTGCACCAGCCGTTGTCAGTGAGATATATCGATAGCGAATTGGGAGACATTTCGACAATACATAGATACGGATGTACGGTAAAGATGGTTAGGAATTATCGTCATACGTATTGTTTTTCGGTATCCAATGTGCGAGGGTGGACACTTGGTGGACGGAGGTCATTGGGTGCAAGCATGCGAAAGGGCTTTAACTGCCAGCTGCGCGTACCGTAGCTTACGTCTGAGCCAATCCAAGTGTGTTGTGTCCGACATGTGCACATATCCACAAGTGCGTGCGCATGAAAGCACAAAGCGTGTCCCCGGTGTGCGTTTATGTTGATGTGCTGCTCTTTAAACCGGCAAAGCAAGGCATCAGTAGTACGCCGGTACGCAGTATCGACGCTTCGCTGCCGCGCAACCAACATCGGTAACATGTGGGCTAAGGATAGTGAGAGCGTCACCGTGCCTCTACGCACGCTCTTACCCGCGCCCTCAGATTAGCAGACAGGCTTGTTATCCTTCATTCTGCGGCCTGGCTCTAAACTGGTTTATTCGAATTATTTGAGCAGGTGTGTTTCTCGACAGTTTCACGGATGTGTCGGATTATAAGATGAAAAGATTGCATGTGGTCTTGCTGCTCGCTTTGCTGGAGGCCTTAATGTTGTAGGCGTGGCCAGATACAAATCAATGACTTGTGTGATCCTCACTATATGTGCTTGAAGGCGAAAACAGTGTGCGAGTCGAAAAGGAATAGGGTGTCTTCCTACATTGCATACGATGTCACGTTAATACGCAATATGGTTGATCTGTCGACTTGAAATTGGCACCGGATGTCGGTGTACTGCTGATACTCCTTAACATTTGGATTGAACAGTCAGTCTGCTGGTCCGATTCTCACTGTTTTGTCATGTCAAAACTTGAACCGAACGCCGGACAACAGTCAAAACTCCACAGAATTCCCACTTGAATCATTGTTATGGTATATAAGATGTGAATTCCTTTCAGCCGCTGTCTATGTCTGTGATACACAACTTGTTCTCGTTCACTGGAGCATTAGACAAACGCCAAACTTCACAGTCACTGTTCTGATAATGTGATGAAGTGTAGGGGATATATTTCATTCATGGAGTATGTTTAAACGGTCGTCGTGATTTCGACTACCACCCATTTGGGGTTCAGAGTTGTTATGTTCTTCAGTTAGAATGGAACGGAATGTGCTTTTTCCTTTGCTCCAGAGGCGCAGTGATCATTCTCAGACATGTCCCCGCTGCCGTGTAGGTTCCAATTTTTGACCGTTCTGCCTCCCCGAGTTGAGTTTACTCTTATTCTTTAATAATTGGTGCTCGGCAGTTAAGTCGTAGGATACATTACACTCACTGGGACCGGATGAATGAATGAACCATGCCCAACACGATGACTTGCGTTTAAGGATAAGAACTCAATTCGTTTAGATCGTGGATGGTCCACATCAACTGGGGCATTATGGTTTATAGGATAGTGGAACATCACTAATCAGATTCAAGCAAGTCCTTACTGTATTTGACATCATCCTCTTTTTTCTGATTGAAGTCGCATGCTTGCTGGATGTGGTTGACGCTGCTACATCAGGGCAGAAAAAGCAGTTGTCTTGAGTTTTTTGGTTCCACTAAGACTGTCGACTTTCTAAGCTCACTACTTTAAACGCACCGTATGTTGGGGATCAAACCGCTCACTTTTGCGGCACACCTTTCTGTTATACTGCCCTTACCCTGTTTCATACGTCTGGGCAGATTGATGCACTATTCTCCTTTAACCTATCTGAGCGGCCGATAGACGAGCCTACACTCAAACGTTGGGCATCTATTCATGAGGATTGTTAACCTGCTGATTCGCTTGTCATTGCCTACCCGTCCATGATTTCTGTTGTGGTCAGGCGGACTGCTTTTTCTTTATTTCCGAGGACTGAAACTTTGTCACCAGTTTGAGTGTATAATGTATGCACAAAGCATGATTGTTGAACGGTAGAACAAGTGATATTTTGGTTGGTTCACTTTACTTGGCTACACTTCATTCCAGTCATACTTAATAAAGGCCTTCTATATAGTGCCACATTTCCGCTCATGCTTTTCATGCCTTGGTATTTTAGGCCGCTGTCTGTTTTGATGCAACTTTCTTTGATTCTGAAATAGCTCAGTAGAAAACCACGAAGTATCTGCGTTATATCAATTTGTGGATCAGCGGTTGCTTTTGTGCCTAGTAATCTATTCTTGCTTCTGGTATCGCACTTTGAAATCCTCATCATTTCAGTGATCGTTTTGATTTTCGAAAAGGGAATAATGAATTAATGAATAGTGGAGTAATGGAGCGTAGCACTTGCCAGTAGCACCAGATTGGATTCGTCTCTGTTTTAAATGAACGTACCTCAGTTATACTCATCAATATGGGACTTTTAATGTACCGTGTAGGAGATTTCTTCGCGGTAGCTCCAAAATCAGATGGTCCACCACATACGGAAAGCCACTAGACAGCCGATTTGATCTGTTGGGTCTCGTCAGTATTGTGCAGTTAATTTGTAAACCACGGCGGTTCGCCGCTGTTCCCCATAGTTCAGTGGAATAAACTGATGGCTGACGGCGCAATCAGCCAGTAGTCTTAGGTTCGAATTCCGATGGATCCGATGGAATCACTCTACTAATGGAAGTTAACAGCTCTTCAGTTAGGTTTAAGGATTTGTGTACCTAGAGCACAAGCCCATTTCTCTTTTTTGAGGACTCGCGTGGCACCGCGGTAGTAATCTGAAATATGTATCGTCACCATTGTCAATTTCTCGTTGTCTGTTTATCGTCCAACAGCTTCACGCTGGTCGGAAAGGACAAATATTTCTGACGTTTTTCACTTGCATTGTTTCAAACATCTTCCTTGGAGCTCTGGCTTACTACGAAACGACCGTGAAGCATCAGTTGCTTCTAGCATTCACCAGCATACTCATCGCTTTTTGTCTGAACTTTTTGGGTCCCTGGTTGTTGGTTCGCATGCAGCGGATGAAAAGGTCAGTTCTCGACGTTTCTTCTCATGTTTATATCTTGAGGTACCTTTAAAGTGTTAGCTACATGGAAATCGACTGATTGCACAGGTCTGCCAAACGATGCAAATGCCAGGCCTTCTTAGTCCTCTCTTATTTGAAGCTAGTCTGCTGATTTGATTGAACTGCTCATCCTACATTTCCGAGACCATTCTTGTGGACCACTGACGAACACTGCATGAACTTGCAGTCAACCACTAATTGACAACCAGCATTAATATTTCATCGTCCTTACACTATCTTTGTATATTTGGTTCGGTTTTTCCCCATCTCGATGGTCAAACCACCAGTTATTCTGAGCCCGGAGCACAAGGGCGCCTTTCTGCCTCTGCTCGTTGGCCTAATTCAGTTGGATCTGATGCGATCAAAACTGGCAGGTTAGGTTATGAGGAGCAACAGTCGCATAACAACTATTGTTAGCCTGTGGATGATTACCAGGTGCTGCCCGCTCGAAGCATTGCACCCGACGATCGGTTTCACACTTGTTTATACTCATCCGGGACTCCGAACTGATCCCATCCCCATTACTCACTAACCGTTGTGACGCCTTGCTCGCGGCTCGGCGGGTGGTAATCTCTACGCCTTGTCACCTGTCGGAAGTACGAAGTCAGTAGTGATGCACAGTGTTTTGAGCTGGTAACCTAACACTTATCTGTCTCAAGTACGGTCCCAGTGACCGAACTGAGGACGATTTTCTTGAATATGGGTCACGGTTTAGCTTGAAGTTGCGTGTTGCAATGTAGCTCACACAGCGGTGCTTCCACATGAACCCTCCATTAGTACACACGATATATCTGAGTGTTCGCACACCACACGGTATGGTTTTGAAAGCTCAATTGCTAACCGGTATGAATTTTCACAGCAACCTTAATCACTCTTGCTCACGATTGCCATCTGATAGTGACTGCGATGATTTGACGTAACTCTACGTGGTGGTGGTTTTTAATGTTTTCTTGTTATCACTCTGTAGACGGCACTGCAGTCGCTTTTCTTCCCCATTCGTCCGGTGGCCGGAAGGATTGCGCGCTTTCGTTAAAATCCTGAGGTCGCGGGTTCGAATCTGCTTGGGTCCGGGCAACTTCGCAGTTTACCCAGCCCATGCATGACCGGTGGTGGCAGCGCAGCGTCGGTATGGTGTACCGCCGTACTACTGATGCTTACATACCCCTTGTATGGTTACTTTGCTTAGATTAAGCACAAACTTTGTGGTTGGGCCAAACACAGGAGAGGACGTGGTTGTGTTGAACGAAAATTAACCACTCTAAGATTGACACCTGTATTATGGGTCTGCTCGGATTTGCATACATGGTGCAGGGTAGAGCATCATTTGATCTCGTGACCATTGTTTAGCACCTCTACTTGGAAGTCGCCCTTTGGGTAAAATATCTCGGAATAATCTTGGAACCGATTGAGAATTCATAAGCTCAAAAGATTTTAAATGCAAATCGGTCTTGTAAAATTTTTTATATTGGCAACCTTCTGCTCTTGATATAGGACTTGATCAAAAGAAGTTATTGCTTCATGAGTGATACGTCACCACTATACAAGTTTTACATGACCGAGCTGCATTCAAAATCTGCATTTATGGCCGCTTTCGTGCTACCCTTCAGCTGTTAGAAGGTGTGTGACTATTATGCGCAATGGGGTGTAGTCTCATTCATGTCAAATCGTGTGGCGCATCACCTTGCTCTTCATATGCAACTGGTTGACCATTTCATCCAATTCATCGCCGACGCACGAAGAATTTCAAGACCTTTGGGAACGATATATCTAGCTACCTGCTTGAGTATTGGTTGCTCCACTTCTGGTGTTGAATAACGTCCATATGTTTCTTTCAATCTATCGTCCTTTTTAGCTTGACAGAGTCGGCGTTATTTACTTAGTTCTAAAATCAGTTGCGTTCTGCTAGACTGGCGGCCAGGGTCATGCACCGAATTTAGCTGAAAACTGAACATGCTGTGTCAGGGTAATTCGCATATTCCTTAGTGGTGGTACTGTTTGATGCTGTTGCTTGATGACCATTTGTTGCTTAACTTGCCTGTAACTAGTTATTCGGTTTGTTTTCTTTTTTAGAAACATACACGGACCATGGGACGAGGCTGTTGCTCAATCATAACTGTGATATATTGGTTCCAATTTGCATCTCATGCGAATCATTAATACATTTATCCAACACGCCCTTGTTCACTGCGATTTCACTAAAACACGTTGCACGTCTATCCTTTAGACAATGATTTATGTATCTGTGTTATCCATCGGTTGAAGTTAAATGGAAATGTCTCTGCCACCGCAGGGAGATCTTTCTTCAAGAGGGGACTACCCAATCTGGTCAATTCGTGTTCTTTGCTTGCTTACATATCGGCTATTTCGTCACACGTTGCTTGATAAAACGGAACCCGCCTATCTATAAGATAGTTTAATTAAAAGCGCCCTGGGAACTTTCCAGTACAATTAGCCCCACCGATACATGCTCTCCTCGGACGGGGGTTACTAATGATGGACACTGCCAAGCTGTTGTTGGCGTTCCTCCCTTTGTTCAATTCCAGTTGCTTGTTCTACGATTGTGCTGTTGCTTATCTTTCCTTGATCGGGGTTCCTTTCCTTTGCCGTTTCGGTCTTTTGTTCCACTTTATCTGAATTATGTAATTAGGATGACACATTTCAAAGTAACCGTTACGAGGAGAGTGAGCACTGATGTTTTGCGATAGCTTACTTTCCTTGAGCTACACTAGGTGATACATTCCAAGTTACTTTAGCGCTAACCATATCAGCATATATAGTAGTTAAGTTTCAGGAAGACCCAATCTTGGTGATTTCGCCATTGTACTTTGGGGAGTGATTGATTGGAATATTCATTCAAAACGTTCATGCGACACCAACTCAGCGGGCTGTATGTTCGGTTCGTTTGACAATGCAAAGTGTCATATGTTGCCTCTTGTTGGAACAGTACCCCATCCGCGTTTAGTGCTTTGCTGCCACCAGCATCAAGCCAGACACTTCTGCTTAATAAGGTGCAAGTCCGCTAGCTCTCTCAGTTAGTCATGATCACACAGGTTAAAGAAATAGGTGCTTTGTCTCGATTCTTCAAGAGCTGCAATTGTGAGGTTTCAAACAGATTGTAACTGGACTCTACAGTTACACTGTTAAAATGTACATGTTCCTCATTTTCTTGTGTCAGGTTACGGAGTTCAAACGCGCGGACGGAGTCCCTCGGGCAAGCCTATATTTGATTTGCTGACCTGTGGACGACTGTTTGATCCCTTTTGAAATGGGCTTCCGGACCGTGTAATCTGCCCTGCAGACGTCATCAGTAAAATTTCTTGTTATCTGTTCTACTCTATCCTCGCGTTTTGAATAATAATGCCACTGAGTTCGCAGCTGATGTTATCGGTACATGTAACATTTCCTCCGGGCTAAGTTTCGTATTTCAGATTGGTTCATTCTATTTTTGTACCATGGATAAGGTCGGTCAAGTGGCAACATTGACTATTACTTCATCCTCTTATAATTGGTGTGCTGTGTTTGCCAAACATGCATGCAGATAGCAGGGTCGTAGCAACATTCCAACCATCTCTTTCGCCATCCTTGGACAATGACTACTTGTCGTGATCATTGCGATACCGTGTCGATTGGTCGGGGTATTTATGGTGTCGCTTTTGACTTCAGCAAACAGCCTGACGTAAATATACCCGACTAAATACCAGTAAACACTCATATGTGCGGTTCGACTTCGAATCACCATTGGGATTGATAAGCGCCTTCTGCAGACTACTAGTGCTACTACTACTACTACTACTGTTGCGATATATGTCCCAACTGACTTCAGACGTGCGTTACCAAAAACGGATACTTTCGGTACCTCTAAACTCTTATCCATTTGGCCAAGAATTCTGATATCATGAATGTTGCTGACAATGGGAATACCAATATGGATCGCTTAACAGGAGGCCGTTTCGTGGTGTTCACACTGAGCATCCAGTAGCAATTGATGTAGGCAATTGGGTACTGACTTCAACTCTTCTATTACCGACACTGCTTTCAGGTGCAGTTCACATGACTTCACAGTTTATCTGCTTTAAAAATTCGAGACTTAGGTGCGACCTTCCAAATGCTTGAAAATTAGGCAACATACGGACTACCAGAGATTCAACAACTCCAAGACAGTAAATCATGTAAATAAGGACATCAGAGGAATCCTGCCTCAACGATTTCCAAAATTTCCACGCTTGAGAAATCCCCAGTCAAAACAGTGCGGTCCACAGAGAAGCGAAATATTGAACCCCAGCATTAAGCAGTTGAATTGGCAGAGGAATTCGAAATGCTGACAAATTTCTAGGCTATTCAAAAGAGCTATGCCATGGATCAATCTAAGCTGATCAAGACAACAGGAGGGGTTGATTTGGTGTACCTAATAGTAACCACGGTGATGATTACAACTCTGATTCCAAACAAAACATCGTGAGTGGAGAACTAAGAGCGGGTAGTATGAACAAGAAAGAGCGAACTGAAGAGACAGGGGCGATGTTTCTTAATAACTGCATTCATCGTTGTCAATGAAATGCTAGCAAGCAGCACAAATCACAATACGACCAAATGAGCGAAATGCCCATTTCACTGCACGTGGAGATGTAAAATGCGAAACATCTGAAATCGTTTAAATTGTTACTTGACATTCACAAAATAGAAACGCTAAGTAATACAAATATAAAACGGAGTACTGTGTTACATGCTAGGGCTGTCGAACAAGTATAGCAGCGGTATCTGACATAATCGATGCTACTTGTAAGTGACCTTGCAAGTAACCTAACGGTGTCTAGTGCCCGTATCCAGTCAAAATGTCTACTCGAATTCGGCTGCCGTGACCCTAGCGAAATGAGAGTTGACTTGGCTTATGTGATTCTCGTAATGCCCTTTTCATCCTACATCACCAGTGACGATGATTAGGGCTGTTGCAACTATGACGTCCCCCTAATCTTTCCTGTCGGCACACATCTGGCCGATATAACGGAAGTTTAATCATGCCATATTGGATGCGTACTTCCCCAGTATAATTACCTCGTGGAAAACCATCAATTTCAAGAAACTGGATTTTTCAACACTGATAGTCATTAGCAACTGATGCCGTAACTGTTCCACCTACTACGTCCACATACGACGCGCAAGAACATATTTGATATCACTCTTCTGCGATAATTAGTAGCAATGTCCTGTCCAGTATAAAGGTGCAGATTGCTGACAGTAAATTCATGAACTGCATGCTTGACCAATTTAATTAGCTTGATCGGTAGCCTGACGGTGGTTTTCGACGAAAACTGGACACGACGTTGGAGAAATCTCAATATATGTACGAGAAAGTGGTACCAAATTTCCACTGTAACGGAAATCGAATCTGGTTACTGCTTCTTTTATATTCAACTGGATGGTATGCAACGCGCCAACTTGCAGTGACTACTTCATTTTCAACGGATTGCGTATGAGTGTCATATCCACTGTTAAATGCAACGTGTGACGACAACACCGTAAAAAACGACTTACTGTTAGGTTTTTTGTGGACCCTACAATGTCTTGCTTCCTTCAAGACGTATCATACAACTTGGAAATCCGACGGTATTCAGGCATCGAAGACCACCTGAAGTAGAACAGTGACGCCCTCAAAAAGCCGATGACGGCAATGTAAGTCTACCGAAATAACGCTTAACCGTGGGTCTCGATGACATTTTCCTTTGTGCCTGATACCATTCGAAATAAATTCGTCAGTGATGAGCACGATTTAAGCGCTGAGGTTCCACGGGTGAGTCGTTGCATTGTGTGGAGGAAAAACGACAAATGCAACTCAATTTTTGCGGCGTCCGTAGGCACCAAGCCCAGCTGATTTCCACTTGCTCACGGGTGAACCTGACTAGCTTAGAAGTTTTGGAGTCTGGTGGCAAACATTACTGAATTCATTCCAAAGTATTCGCTCCCGTGACCAAATGAACTGAAATTTGCAAAGTAATAGTGGAATTAGTTTCGTCTACATTATCGTGGTATACCTGAGCGTATGCGAACAAATTTTGGATGGATCTGAGGAGTAGAGCCTTTACTTCACACATTCAATGAGCAAGGTGCTCCTGGTTAATTGGGTCGACCGTTTACGGTTATTGCTGGTTCAATTCTGTTGAGCAACTGTGATCCCGACACTGAGGTGCGGGGATCCAGTTGCCACGATTCGCAGCACTAAAATAATCGAGTAGTAAAATACAGTTGAACGCAAGTTGAATAAAGATAAAATGGAATCATTTGGTAGTTAATGTGGAATAAAATATTAACAACTAGATGCAAGAAACCTAGTGTCTGGTGAGGCCTGCAACGACTGGTGTCGAACATCCCTGAGCCCCCACCCGCAAAGACAGCATGCGCCAGCGTGACCAAATCTCAGGGCTAGTTTCTTTATGCCAGATCATCTATTGGCCACCCGGCTGGAAGTGGTTGATCGTTTCACTTAGCTTGATAGTTTTATCATCTCCGAAGATCTATTTTTGTGTAGGTCCTTCAAGTAGCAGCATAGTCAACACGGGATTTTGGATGACTTATCATCTTCCCAGTCACAAGTAGAGCGCTGCGATCAGGCCAATGCTGTTGTACGGATAAGGGATCCGTACCTTTCCCACCGCAGACACTGAGAAATTGTTTGTCTTTGATTACCCATGCTTGTGGAGCATTGTTCAGACCGGCCGGAAGCATTGCGTGAGCAGCACTGTGACTCGCCTGTTGAAATTTGCACAGAAACCATTTTGTGCCCCGCTGAATTGTCCGTTACAGTTGAATCACTCACACTGGTAGGATCATTTAATCTGTATACCCGTTCACAAACTTTCTCGGTGTAAATTTTGTGCTGTCACTACACCTAGTTGGACAAAACCACGAGCTAACCAGATGACGTTTTGTGACAAAAGCATAGGAGGACCAACTTAGAGACTCAGTCATGGTTTTCTATGTAGGCTTCGTGGATGTTGGCCTCAGGATGACCACATCATTTTGTTTAAGATGGATAGACATGACGCAATCTCCAAGTCAAGGACACTCCTACATTCTCTTTATTATATATGGCGGTAAATATTCTTCCATAATTATTGC